TTATGGCATTGCACTGTAGTGCACAAATTTTCCTTCGGTAAAGTTATTTAAAGCTAGTTTCTGATGTCAAAAACGACCTCCGATAGTTTTTTAATTAATCGATTTTATTATATATAAATTTAATTAATTAGGGGAGTCGGAAATCGCAATTAAAATCTTAATTTTTTAAAAATATTTAAAAATATACGCGAATTTCGAATTCACCCTACTTTAAACCCTTGTCCTCCCGAGACGTCTATTAGAATGCCCCGGGAAATCAAACTGCAGCTGTGTTCAAGGTCACCCAGCTGTGTAAACAATGACTCATCGGTGTTAAATTTCGCAGAAAGGCGAGACAAAGGAAAATAAAATTTGAAGCTTTTTCTTCAAAATTAACGCATTTCTTTCGTTTTTTTCGGTTTTAAGTATTTTTTACGTTTAATTAAATTAATATCAAAAATATCAATGTCCTTAAGGGGTTAAATTTCAATGGATTTGACAGCATTTTATCCATGGAATACTGCCTTAGCTGGTATGTGTCCGTCTCTAAACAGGGATTAAGACACCATCTAGCGGCAAAATTTAGCAACACTAAACGACCCTCTTTTCGAAGCGAAAAGTTCAGAGTGCGATAGCTTTCTTATCTCGTAAGCAACGAGTGAAGCAATGATAAAGCAGGGGTCGCGCTGTATAAAGAAACGCGGCCAAGTCTATTTGGTTGCGTGGACTATGTCACGTTTCTATATTCAGAATACAAGTAGAAATTACTTTTAGGAGACTTGTACAGTACGCGAATTCATATTAAATAGATTTACCTGAAAGTAACTTCTACTGAAATTTAGTATTTACAATATAAAAACTTAAAACAAACTTACAACCACCAGCTACATGCAATCGTTGGCAGCGCTGCTTATTTGGAGACGAGCGCACCCTTTCGGCAATTAGTAAATACTCAAATATTAGCCTTTTTTTTATTTTTCTTCTAATGAATTACTTTTTTATATATATTTACGAAAAATAATAATAATTGAACGAATTCGAAAATAATATTATTTTTTTTCATTTTTTGGACTCTCCGGGAATAAAGGACCATTTTAAGGCCCGTGATTTTTTAAAAAGCAAGGCTCACAATGAGGCGGCCGAGTTTTTTTTTTTTTAACTTTTCTCGTCCTGTAGGCACTAAGTGGGCATCTTTTTAGCAGGCCCACACTAGAACGGCCGGCTAAAATAAACAACCATATGAACACTGGTAACTCTCCTCAGTTTACTTATCAGGAAGTAAATAATGCGATTAGAAGACTAAAAGAAGGCAAATCTCCCGGCATTGATGGCATAACTGCCAAAATTGCAAAACATATTTGGGAAATGATTCCACAACAACTTGTACAATTGTACAATGTCTGTTTATTCACAGGCATTTTTCCTACCAGATGGAAAATTGCGAAAATAGTTCCTGTCCCTAAACCCAACAAGCCCAGTGAAACAAGACCAATCTCTCTATTACCTATTTTTGGAAAAGTACTTGAGCGTCTATTAACAGATCGATTAACCTGGATGGTTGAGAAAAACAACATACTTTACAATACGCAATTTGGCTTTAGGCAACAAATTTCCACCAGTGATGCAATAAATCATGCAGTACATAACATCAAAAGTCTACTTGAATATAACAAGTACGTATTGGCCATTAGCTTAGACATATCCAAAGCTTTCGACAGTGCGTGGTGGCCGTTTGTGTTACATCAAATAAGAAATACAGCCTGCCCAGCTGACATTTATAATATATTTGTAAGTTATTTAAGTAATCGCAAAGCCATTCTTGAATACGGTGCACACACGACAGAAAGAGAAATTGTCTGTGGATGTCCCCAAGGGTCTGTTTGCGGTCCGTTATTATGGAACCTAACATTCAATGCCTTTTTTGGAGAAAACTTTGGGCAAGATGCAACGACAGCTTACGCGGATGATGTCTTAATAATGATTGGAGGGCGGTCTAGAGCAATCTTGGAAAAACGCGGAAATGATATTCTTGCAAAGATCCATCTATGGGGTATGAAACATAAGCTGAAATTTAATCCTGCAAAAACTATCGGTATTGTATTTAATAAACCAAGGAATCCAAACCTATACCTTCGAACCCCTACAATAAAAATGAATAATCAATCCATTAAAATCAAAAAATCCATCAAATATCTTGGAGTTTGGCTGGACTTCAGACTTGGGTGGGATGAACACATTTCGTATGTTGCCAAAAGGACTTCTTTCATTTTTCAAGCTTTCTCTGAAATAGCGCGTAAAAACTGGGGTCTATCTTCTGAGGCAATTAGTATCATCTATAATCAAATTTATATCCCCATCATTACATACGGTTGCTGCAGTTGGGGTAAAGCTATTCACAAAGTACATCTTAGTAGAAAATTGATATCATCTCAAAGGAAAGCTCTACTTTTATTAACTAGGGCATACCGGACAGCTCCTAACTGTAGTTTGCAAGTAATTTCCAGAAAGCCACCAATAACTGAGATTATTCAAATGGAATATAATCTTCAACAGCTCAAAATGGGAAATGATATTTCTACTTCCACATGTGACTTCAGTTACAGCATTTATGAACATCCAAGTCCCATCAACACCAGTCTACCGCCTAACATCAACAATTTTATTAGTATTGATTCACCCATCTTTTCTGATTTACAGATATACACTGATGGCTCTGGCATAAACGACTCTATTGGATGTGCTTTTGTCGCATATTGTAACGAAGTAGAATTTTACAACCAGAAAGGGAAATTACATAAACTTTGCACTGTATTCCAAGCTGAATTATTCGCGATCTACATAGCTACCCAATGGACCGAGCATAATTTTACTAGAAAGAACATCCACATTCTTAGTGACTCTTTCTCTGCCATACAGGTCATTTGCAGTAAACAGTTACATCCGATTGCCACAAATATTCGCAACCTAATTAATAATTCTCATAATAACTACATCATTTCTTGGACCAAAGGACACCAAGGTATGGTAGGAAATGAACGTGCAGATCAACTAGCGAAGGAAGCTGCTACTGACGATTCATTAGACACCATATATAACAAGATTTGCAGAAGAGGAATTAAAAAACTATTATATGAAGATCTTTTAAACCGATGGCAACTCAACTGGGACTGCAAACATAATGACACGACTTTTAAATTTATACCTAACGTCAAGGAATATCATAATAAATATAAATGGGTAATTCCAAGTTTCCCCCTTACTCAATTTCTTACCGGACATGGCAAATTTTCAAATTATCTACATCGATTTGTGAATAAGCAAAATGATCTGTGTGCCATATGCGGACAACCGGACAGCGTCGACCATTATCTTTTTACCTGTATTTCTCTCGAAAGAGAACGTTTAGAACTAAAAATCATTGCTCATAGATATAACCTCAACTGGCCATGCAAACATGAAGATCTCATAAAAAATAAAGAAATTTTTTCTTCCTTTCTTCTACTAGTTAAACGCCATGAGACTATAGCAACCTACGCAACTAGGGAATAATTCTTAATTTCAATTACTTTTACCTTACTTGATAAACTTGTTTATTTTCTTGAAAACTTCTTGTAGTCTTGTTCTTTTATTCGGTTTTTGAAAGTCCTATTATTGTTGTTGGATTCGCTATATTCGACATAGTTTTGAGGTTAACTCTCTTGCATTTTCTGTCGTCAATTGTTAACGACCCTTTTCTTACATTTGCCACTTTGCTGAATTGTCAGAGGACTTGACAGATGAAAATGTTTTACTACCATATAAAGGCTTCGATGGATACGTGATTATTAAAAACATTCAACATACTTTGATCACTATGTCTCATCTATGACCTTTGTGTTCAGTCAACGTGTTTATTATCTTCATAATAATCGAATACATAACTCATCACAGTCAGTTCGCAAGAAGAATTGCAAAGTCTCCTGGCCAAATAAATTGCTTCAGTGCAGAATCATGGATGTCTTATACACATTGTCTCTGACGTAGATACGTGAATTAACATAAGATATCTTGGATACATTGTACCGCAGACACGTGACATTTATAAAAGAAGTGTGGATTATGGATATCTTGAAAACATTGTTTGAGCTGTAGACAAGTGACCTTAATTGAACCTTGTGTCCTTATTCTAAACCGTTTGCTTTCTCAGCGCCTCTACTGCAATATGTGTTTTCTCCATTTGAGAAAGGACATGACATTTGGATGCAGCCTATGTGCTGTAACGATAGAGACGTGCTAGGCAATTATCTGAGCCCATCTTGTAGTAACAATCAATGCCTACTGCAAGTCTAAGGAAACTTTGCATTGATGTGACTGGATAAGACCATTATCGATGTGATTGGATAAGAATACGCCGTTGGATTAGAAAAGCAGTGTTCAACTTTGCGACTTGGCTTCATAAACTTTTGCTGGTTGATAGTCTGAGTGATCTAAACATCTGTGTGATAAGAATACACCATCCAATCAGGAAAATACTGTGCAACATGCAACTTGGTTCCATAAACTAGTGATGGTCGATAGTCTGTGTTATCTAAATATCTGTTATGAAGTATACACGGCTTCAACATTGATGAGCTTCGACAAAACTTACCACCAAACTAGAAAAACTGTGCTGTGGACACTCGGCCTCAAGATTTCATAACATTCTGTTTGTATTACGATTAGAATACAACACGCTCAGTTTATTGTTATATAGCATAAGTTTAGTTTTAAGATAGTCATAAGTTTAGTTTTAAGTTAGTTTTAGTTAATTTTCGTTCACCTCTATTTTATCTTATGTACTGTACTTTCTTTTTAATAACCTGCATGACAAGCTGTAAGATTATATCTATATTGGTACACCCAACACCTGTATAACCATTTCTATTCATTACCACGGTATCGATTTGTAAAATTCATACTGATATTGTATAACTTGTTTACTTTGTCTTCCTACAATTTGTCAAGCGGTTTTATCATTTGTAAATTATATTTTCATATAAAAAATTGTATATATATTTCTCAGCTATGTATAATACGGTACTGGGAATGCACCTGCAAGGTGCCTAATAAAGAATAAGTAAGTAAGTAAGTAGAACGGCCGGGTGGTGAGAGACCACCCTTAAAAATTTTTGGGGTTTTCGACCGGTCTGGATATGATCCCGGATACCCCACAGCGGTAGGCTACCGTGTCGACCGCTCGGCCATCCGACAACAAAAGTCGATATCGTACGAAACAAGAATTTATTTCGCGATCCCGTTTCAAGCTTACGATAACCGCGACAAGTGTTTACCAATTGATTGCTCATTCGCCATATCTTAAACTAACTTAATTAAAACTATAAGTAACGGAAACACAAGGGAAGAGAAGTGAGGAAGTCGAGGAGCAGAGCATTACCTCTGGCTCTGAAATGATGGATATGAACGATATCGGGGCTTTTCTTTGTATAATGTCGAAACAGTATGGTATCGAGCGATTTTTCATCTCGTTGACAAATCTTCAAAAATTTTATTTATTTCTCTCGTCATTATTCAATTCTCACCATCTCCAAGATCTTGGTTATCATCTTCCGGATTCATACATTGAAAAATAACCTTACCCCTCACCAAATAATGTGTTATTTCCCCATACACACTGTATGCCCTCGTTTCCCTTCTATACAGAGTGATTCAAAAGTCACAGAAATTTTAAAAAATTAATAACTCACAAATTATTTACGGTAAGATGGTGCGGTTTACACAGAAATGCTTAGAAGCGGGATTTTTTGAGGTGTAATAAAAATTTTGGTACTAAAGTTTATATATATAATATATACAGCAGAGCGTCGTTTATCTGAATCAATTGGGGACTGGGGTTGTTCGGATAACCGATTATGTACGAAAAAATATATTAATTTATCCCGTGTTGACATTTTTCTCCGTTGCGTGTCGCTTCGCGTTGAATTTTCGTCAATGTTAAGCCTAACGAAGACTATTGTATCGTTAATTTAAAAATTATTTTTTTATTTTGTACGAACAAAATAAATATATTGAAAAATATAAAAACAATAAAAAATTATACTTCAGATGTCAATTTAGTATCAAAAACGTAAAATATTTGAGTAGCCGAAGACATAGCCAAAGATTACAGCGCCACAGCACTGGCGAAAATTTAAATTTGTCGACTGGAATTCCTTCGGATAACCGACCTTCGGATAAACGATGCTCTACTGTATTACCACTGATATACATATATGCCTAGAGAAGAATAAAACACCAAATAGTTAATACTGTAGTCTACTACTACTACTGAAAAGTCGCCAATAGGTGCATGTTCAAGCTTATCCATAACACTTCATTTTAAATATGAAAAATAAAAATAGTATCAGCTTCAAGATGAATTACTGCTGAATAAAATCAATATAAAAATGATCAGTGATAGTAAGAAATAGTTTTCAAAAACAATAAACATGGAGAGAACTCATCACAACCTATTGTTTGTTGGAATTATTAACTTGACTTTGTCAAATAAATAATTTCAAAATAAATTGAGGAAGTTAAAAATTAAAAAGAACATACCTAGGGCTGGATTTGTATGTAATCTATATAAGCTAGAGCCTCCATTTTTACATTATTTGGTGGTGGGAAAAAACCTATTCTATGTTAAGAGTAGAGCAAGTATTTAGTTTAATTAAATGACTTTCACAATTGCAGAAAACTGACTGCATCTATTAATATGGCAGTTAGGGCTATCCATGAATTACATCTGTATTTTTCTAGAAATTTTTACTCCTCACCATTGTCCCAATTTGTCCAAGTTTCTGTAACTCTCTCCCCTCTTCGGAAGTCCAACAAAACTCAATCCCCTTCAAAATCTTTATCAGTTTATCAATAATAAAATGCATAAACTGTATAAAATATATTGAAATAAAACGAATGTCCATTGACGTTAAACCCCTCTCCCTCCCTTCGGTGGATATCATTTACGGATGGCCCCTTTAGATGTTTGTCTACCACTCAAGGATACTCAAAAAAGACTACAGGAATTTTTTGGAGGTCTTTCCTCCTTAATATGTAAGGCCCCATAGCCTACCTCACCATCCAGTCGCCCCATTGTGGACCAAACCAAACCCACAATGAGCTTGATGAAAAAAGTATGCTCTCTTAGTGCCCAGTGTGAAAAGAATAAAAAAAAAAAACAGTACACTTTTATGTATTTCTGAGACCATGTCTTTTTTTCTTTGTTTTTTCTTCACTACTAGGTGCATCGGCTTATGGAAGATTAATAAAGATGATGTAAAATGCCTTGTGTCTATTAATGCACCTAGTAGTGAAGAAAAAAACAGTACACTTTTAGACTGTAATTTCTAGAGGTGGTAATTCCAGTTTCACTTCTGGAATGTAGAACTAGAAGGCTAAATGATTTCGTACAACCAATATGTTTCATTGGAACTGTTGGACCATGGGGAAAACAGATTACCATAAAACCTGAATACCTTACCCCTCTTCTCATTTCATCCCCTCTTATTAACTCAAACAATTTGTAGTTCCAACTGGAACTCTCTTGAAACTCAGTGTGAAACTGTTCCTAGTAGTTTTGAGGAAATATCCATCCTAATGGAACTATCCATTTCTAGTAATTTCTTACCTTGAACAATTTTCACTATATTAAACACAGCTTGAACACCCTTTGTAGATTCAGAATGACACTTTAATTTCAAGAAAATACTGTCTAATGTTTTCAATCAAGAGTGATCTTTATCGGGTCGTGTTCCTATTTCATCCATACATTTTTTATCAATATAGATTGAAAACATCATTCAATATATATTTTTTCAAAATGGAAGTTTGGTTCTGGATCTATAAAGCTCTGTTTACTGTACTATTATCCAATGAGAAGCAGTTAAGTTAAATATTTATATTTATGTATTGTATGAAAATTTGATACTATGTTGTTATAATTGATAAATTAAAATGTTAAAGATACTAAAAATTTCATTTATTGAACTGCTTTAAAATATTCGTAACTGACTCGCAAGACGTAACAGTTTTTAAACAATTTAGCATCAGGTTCTCCTTTTCTTTGTTCCTCGAAGCAGAGCTCGTCCATCTGCAAGCCAAATCGAGTAACAATATTGAAATGTCATCGATTAGTTTCACGTCTAACATGCTTGCCAATCTACATACTTCGCAGAATAAGCTTCTTACAAGGTCGATGTTTTCACTAGCAGTCGACACATCCTATAAATTAATCAAAACTCATTAATTAAAGTTAATTATGATACCTTATCATTAATTCTGATTAAACCATACCTGAATTAATTTATTCAGAGAGGAGAGAATGTAATGCCATGGTATATCTGGAACTTTGTTGTTGTTTAGTAGTAACAGTGCATCAATGAATGTATGTACGGCTTTCAGCGAGCACGTATCTGTTAAAAAGAAATGAGATTGGTTCAAAAATTATTTGGAATAGGTATATAAATATTTCAATAGTTCATAGTACATTATACTTTATTGTTTTATACCATGTTTTCTAAATGATGGTTGGTTATTGTTAAATTATACTCTCGTGTAATGAACTGAAGACTCAAAATACTATTATAATATAAGGCAGTGATTCATAAACTTTTTTGATGCTCCCCAACTGTACCCACAAAGCCTCTAACCCATTTTCCCTTGTATGAGAAAGGCTTGGAAATAGAAAAACTTTTAATAAACCTCACATTTTGTCCTTACAATACATTATTCTACATATCTGGAAACCGTTAAACACAATGTTTCCTCTTACCCATTTTAACAGAGAAAAGGAAAAGGTCATCAGTAACCCCAACCCTTGACTATGGTCATCATTTGATCAGGACCCTGCCTCCAGCACCCCTTCTACCCCTATGCTTCTTACCCCTGTAGGTTTAATCACTTCCCCAGGGGTTGTAGCACCCACTCTGGAAACCACAGATCTAAACTATCATGTAATATATGCTTCTATCATATATATCATATGCCAATTTAATTGGGATAATGAAAATTTACTACATTTGTACAATGAAAAAATTATATCAAATTAATGCAAACATCATGAATTCCCCAATCAAACAAATGTAACATTATAGATTTTCTGTTAAATTTCTTTTGAAAGTGAGAATAATATTGGAAAATGGCAGAATGGCTAACCAGCCTACCACTCTAAGGGTCCTGCGATCAAATCCAGATTAGTTTTAAAAAAAAACCCAGAAATTCTTTGGGAGGTGATCCATCTAGATCAGTGTTTCTCAACCTCTAACGAATCGTCACCCCTTCAATAAAACTGTTACGTAGTATCGCCCCCTTTACTACAAAATTCTGATGCTGAGGGACAAGGCTAACGCCAAATTCGTACTGCATCGAATAGACTAGTGACTACATAATGTTATTTGTTTAATTATTATACGATATAACGAATAAAATATCTAATTATTCTTAATATAATGTTTTACTATATCGCCCAGAAAATTGTTTTTTTGCCCCCAAAATATAAATTGTTACTAATCGCCCCCCGAACATGAAAAAATGCCCACATGGGGGCGATATCGCCCCCGTTGAGAAACACTGATCTAGATTAACAAAATTAACTGATATTTGTAATTTTGGGATGTTCTTAATCTACTATTGTACTTATTTAGGAAAATATGCTTAGTGTAAAAAATAGGTTGTGGAAAATTAAAAAGGGGTCTATTACTTCCTAAAGTCAAAATGAAAAGTGTAATTAATGTCTCATGTTGATGGTTAAGATGACTGTCCACCTGTACAAGGACCTGGGATTAAACCTGGATGGCTCAAAAAATTCCAGGAACTTTTTAGAAAGTAAATTGACTGGATATGTCAGACCCAATCCCCCACTACCTGGTCACTCCAATTTGAACGTAACTGAATCCATAATGGGTTTGCTAGAAAGGCACTTTTAGTGCCCACAAGGTGGAGAGTTAAAAAATATGTTATTGGTTGACATGCATTTTTGATAAAATGTTACTGACTATGAAGTGTTACAATTTATGCAGGAATGCACTGATTCCAACAAAATATTTGGACTCAATTCAACTTCTTTCTTAAGAGCGAAACTAACTTATGACAAATCAACAATATATTGTGAAAAAAAAAATTTGATCACATGTGAAGAATTTTAAAGTCTGACATGGATTCAAATCTAAGTCTCTCAGAACAGCAGACAGATATGTTTGTAGCTTTGATCATACACCCAGTATGATGTGAATAAGACAGTTTAGTTAATTAATTCTCTACTGACATTTCATTGTGATTTTGCATTGATTGAATAAAGATTTCTACAATATCAAAGTAACTATTAAATTTTGGAATGTAAGAGTATCTATAATGGTATTTTTAGTCACATTCCTGAGTTTTAGTTTTAGTCTTTATATCTGTAAAGTTTCAATTTTAGCTTGTGTAGATTAGTGTGGTTTTAGCTAAACTAAAACCACACTAATCTACACAAATATTACAGGCCAGATGGCCATACATGCAAGCTGGCTCTATGGAATCCTGGATCAAAACTGGAAGGGTGAAACTCCCCAGAAATTTTTCAGGTGTGGTCTAACTGGAAACATCATGCCTCGACTCTAACCAACCAGTCGCTCTTAAGGGCTTGCAAAAAAAAGCTCTCTCGGTTCCGACTGGGCAGAAAGACGTTTAAAAAAGATCCCAATAGCATTACTGGTAATACAATCATATGGTAAATATAAGTTATGTGTTCCAATTCCGCACTAAATCAATCTTATTATCAAAAGTAGACATTTAAGAATTTAGTAGTTTAAAATAAAAATAATGACAGACTTTCAATCAGCATTTTTCACACTAGCCAAAATATAGTCTGCAGTACTACATACGTACAATCTGAGATAGGCTGCACAAGACTCATATATTATTTAATTCTTAAACTATGGAATAATATACAGAAAATCCTCATTAATTTGAAATCCCATTAGTTCATAACTGTTCAATTTATCCTGGCCCGGAGATATAAAGATTTACACGTTAAGGAATTTGGTTAGCTTGATATATGGCTATTTTGAAATTCAAGATGACAATTCTGCTGGCTTATCCTGGGGAATGCCGGCATGCTAGTTTAAGGTCGGGATAGATGGTCAGTGTAGCCCATACTGACTGACTACTACTTCTACTAATGTCAATAAGTCATTAATTATTTTATTGTCTTGTAAACTGAAACTTTCTTCTTGATTTTAAGTCTGTCAAATTACTTTATTGGACTTGGAAGAATGTTTTCTTTAACATTTAATTAACAACTAGCATTGTTAAATCTGATTAATTTTATATTTTAGTTGCAGTTTAACCGGCATGCTGGTTTCTCCATTTTTATGCACATGCCAGTCATTCCATGAAATAATGCTAAAACCTATCTGGTTTTTGACAAACACACACTGTTTACCTGCAGTTTATTTATATTACTATTGCGGTAATTATTATTAATTGACAAAAATAGCCCTATTTCATTTGCATCAGTTACATGGCATTTGGCATATGTAAATCTCAAATAATTTGAAGTCATGATTATTTCATCCCTCGAATTTCTAACCAACAAGGATTTCCTGTATAATTGTCAAATTATATTTAAAATAAATGTCTATACCAAATTTAAGCACTTCATCACTCAACACTAAATCTGGAGGGAAGAAATTGCAATCGCTGTCATAGTACGAACAGACAACCGAATACAAGAACTTCCATTCTTCAAATGTAGAACAGAGCAATACCTGAAAGGAATATTAACTCTTTATTACAATAATGTAATTGGCAATAGTAATCTTTCTACAAAACACCAACAAAAATAAAAAAAAAACAAAAATGGAAAATAAAAATATGCAAACATAAACCATAACTTAATCTTTTCAAGCAATCAAAGGACATAAACTACTGGATTGATGGGGAGATGGTTGAGGCAGTTAATGGCTTGGTCTACCACTCTGGAAGACCAGGACTCAATCTGGATGATCGAAACACCCTAGGAATTTTTTGGGAGGTGATCCATCATGGATATGTTGGACTGTTCTTTGCCATTTAACCATCCCACCGTTGCCCAGCCAAACCTGTGATGCTCTCTTAGTAACCACGAGGCAGAAATCAAGAATAATAAAACTCCACCAGATTATTATTAACAGGTTATTATTATTATAGCACATTAATAAATCCAGCAGTTCGTGTCCTTTAATTAAAATTGAACATTGTGCTCAAAGATAAATTTTAAAAGAATCAAGATGATATTAATCATAGCTTTTAGGATGCAAAAACATAAAATTAGTTACCTCACTCAATGATATAACTAAATATGAGTAAGAAATATCACAGGTAAGACCTCTCGAGCTTTCTTCGATTAACTCAGAAACGGTTTCCTCCCGCATCCCAAAATTACTGCCACTTAAAAGATATACATGCGAAATCTCTTCTGTAAGTAGCAACTAAAAATGGTTATATAGCACTGATGCATAATTTGTTTTGAGCACAGAAAAGATAAACTTACTCAGATCGTCCCTCTCAATTTCCCTGTTTTCAAATTTTGAAAGAAGATGAAGATACCAGATGGAATTGATTGATTTTAAATAGTCAAATAACTTTCTAATAGGTACATCTGAAATTAAAAAAGGTGTATTTTTAATCAAAACACTTACTTTAAGGTCATTATACGAAGGGTATTTTTTAAATAAGGTCCGTTTTTAATAAGAAGAAAAATACTGTAAATATCATTAAAATATATTTTTTCCCCATATTCTACATACTTTTATCTACTTTTCTACATAATTTCCATTTTTGTTCAAACATTTGTCATACCGCTCAACAACTTTTAGAATTCCGACTTCAAAGAAATCTGCCGCTGGAAAACAGTAGGCCATGGCGTTTGTTTTATATGGCACGTCAGAGTTTTCTCAAGATCACACAATATGCATCAGAATTGACTGTTGTGCCTATCAGCATAAAATCCATTAACAAAATCCCTTTCCTGTCCCAAAAGCCAGTTGCCATGATCTTTCATACTGAAATCAAATAACAGATTGTATCTCACAGTCAGTGGGCAACTCAATTTTCTTAAACATTATAAACTTCTACAGCTCAGAAAAGACGATACGGCTGCAAATGGCATTTGCATTCAAAGCATGCTGGGAGCATAGATCCATGCACACTACTGTGATCACAGGTTATTCTCACTCTCATTCACAAACAAATCTTATTTAAAAAATAGCCCTCGTACAACTGAAAAAAAAAGACAAACTGACCAGAAACACTATGGTTTTGCAGTAAACCAGGAGTAAGAGAAGTGAGGACAATGAGTATAGTTTGTCTTCTTCCGGCATCTCTCTTCAGACTGAAATACTGTAGCAGTCGATACAGACAGAATATTAATGCTACTCTGTTCACTTTATCTTTGTTTTCTAAAAAGATTCTTTCTGCAATAACCTATTGATAAAAATAATAACAAGTTACTGACATATAAAACTAGACAAATTATTAACTTACAGTTTAATGCAATCAAAGCTTATAAAAACAATGTTGCATATAGATATATAGCATTAACAGAAAAGTCAATTTACTGCATAATATGTAGGTCATACAAAGATGTAAAATCAGACTTGCAGCAAATTCCTTATGTTTGTGTACAGTTAATCACTTAAAAGTTTGTGTTTGGAACACATATACATTGACAATGTAATAATAAGTTTATTTAACAAAATGTGTATTTTGTAAGCATCTTCAGTGGCATTGAGGCTCAACTTTTTAGAACATAGTTATGGGCTGCAGTTTTCGAATTGTAGACCTATACATTCCAACTATTGTGTCTGTCTGTCCTTTGTTAATCTTGAGAACAAAGTTAGACAGATGAAAATCAAGACCAGATGTAGAAAGCTTAGTTGCAAGATGTCCTGAATAACAAACAATATATGAATATCCAGTCTGGACTGGAATCACAATTTCAATTAAAAATTTTCTAAAGAATGGAATTAGATAAATGACTCAATTGTTATCAGCAGTATAATGTACAGGGACAAGACGCCACTAAAATCCCAACCGGATATAAAAATCTTAGGAGCTGGAGACTCTACATATGAACTTCTGGTTTGGACTGGAAGTCACATGATTTTTTTAAATGAAAAGATGATTAAAAATTGAAGTCCAGCATTGTGTCAAATGACATATTACAAGCAAATATTTACTGTAACTAGTAAAGTATAAAAATAAAAATTTTAAATCAAAACAAAATGTGAGTTTTAAAAAAATGTATTTAGAACAATAAACGTATTGTACATTTAAATTATTTTTAAAAATTCTTGTTCAATATGGATTGCATTTTGTATTAATATAATGGGAATTTCAGCAAAACAAAGGAGCTGTCTCCTTACTTTGCTTGTTGCTCTGATTATATAATATGGAGTCATTTTTACTTTTCCCGCTCTATTGTAAATCTTCTTCTTTTCAGATTATATTCTCTGTTATATATAGGAACGTATGGGAATCAGTCAAAAACTAACCCCACAAGATTTTTACATTTTTGGACTAGGGACATTGAAATGTCAAGAAATGCAAACAATTATTTTTTTTCTATATATATGGATATTAATATGTGTGTAGCAGTGTAGGCATGATTTTGTTCACCCTCTGAAGATTAATAACTTTTATGCTTTTAGTCAAAAATTTCTGAAATTTTGCAGGGAGTTTAGTTTATTAGAGGGATTGATACTACTAAATTTTGGAGGTTAAAGATCGGCAGGTAGATAGGGGGATAGAGAGATAGAGGGGGTTGTGTGTCCTATCACAAGTAGGGTCGGACTTAATGAGAATTTTATGCGTTATTAGCATTTACAAATTTTATAATACTCTTCCCTACCCTCAAAATTAAGCTTTCTGCCATTTTATAATAATTAAAAATATAAAAAGGTTCCTAAAATATCATAACAGATGGTGCCACCAAACTTTTAAATATTGCTGAATTATTTTTACTATTTAGATTTTTGTTGAATTGTTTTCTTCTAGTCATTATTTTCAAGTAAATTTACAAAGTTTACTGTTTATAGCCAAATAATTATGTTCAATGCAAATCATCATCTTTTATGTTATTCCTATTAAAAACACTCACTCATAACTTACAAGTCTGTGAATTACGTACTGCATTTTGACATGTCTACACATTAAAAAATACTTACCTGTAGAAGACCAAGACCAAAATCTAATCTTTCGAGTGGCCCAGATGTCTTCAAATTTGGTAAAATGTACCATAGAAGAAGGTCGTCAGGTAATACAATCAACTCATCCTTATCATTTTTCTAAAAACATCACTACATTAATTTGATATCAATTACAATTTCATCTCATTAGATATCGTACAACAAACAAAATAAAATTACTTTAAAATTTTCAGAAATTTAACATCGATACCTGTGTTAATATTCGTATTAAAGTGATCGCATTATTCAGTTCTTGTTCAGATAATCCTTCGCTTGTAACATTACAAAAACATTTCACAAACAATGCTGGAGAATTGGTTGATTCTTTGAATCGACACAAGAACGATATATCTTGAAACATCTATTAAAATTGTAGAATTATTATACAGATAAATACAGGGTGTCTGAAAAGTTACTGTGCAATGGAAAAGGTTTTATGTATATTGCAGTTTCTCTTACAGCAAATACTGAAAATGTCCCCATAGATGTGAAGATGGCTTCACACAACACTGTATATTGTCGAAAAACATTCTGGATGGTGGCAGGAGTGATCTGTTCAATATTTTGGATAATTGCTGTCTTCAGCTCCTCCAGATTGTGAGGATTGTTGTCACATTCCTCTGGGACATCCCAGAAAAGTAAAAACGTAGGACATACAACTTAAAACTGTCAGCTCAAAACTATTCCTCATTACAAATTTATCACTGCACAGTAACTATTCAGACACCATACAAACATTTATAACAGAAAAATTAAACATTACCTGCGATATAATGCCAATCTGTTTGTTATTGTTGATGGCTTGCAAAATCATACTGGTAATGACGTCTGCGGGAGATTGCAGACAATACACATAGATCCGATTTGGCTACATTTTTCATTTGTAATCATTAGATTCTCAAACTGACATTAGTTAAAATTATAAAGGATACTTTACCATGTTCTCGGCTGCCTGATAACTAACAATCTGATTTAGAAAGTGGGTGAGCTCCACCTCAAAATCATTAGCTTTAAACACACTTGGAATCCCATATGAATTTAGAATATTTTTCAAAACTTCTTGCTGTTGACAAGACGATGGCAAATTTGCAAATGCATTTAAGATGATCTGCAGAGAATAACATAATATTATGGAAAAAACTTAGTTGTTACAATCTTAAATTGATAGTTTTAGCTTACCTTAATCATTCGCTCTGTCTGGGTGACTTCATTACAAATGACATTATTCATTAATAAACTTAGATATTTTGGTTCAGACAACAGATACTCCCGTCTTTCGAGGAATTCCACTATGCTAAAAATAAGAGAGCCTCTAATATGTCATTTTTTTCTTGCTATGTTTTTCAGTTTCTATATTTTTCAGTTTTTATGTTAACTTCATCTAGTTCGATATTGCATTAATTTCTATACAACAAAAATATCTCTAAGCTTACCTGTCTTCAGCAATTTTGTTCTTTTTACCCCAGATTTGATCCATAATTTCTGTATTATTAGAAAATAATTTTATTTACAAATGATAAATATTAAGGATTTTCATATGTAAAGAGATGTTACCAGTATATTCATAAAGCAAAATATCATTCGTCCAGCTCAAAGTCCCATGCAACATCCAAGCCGAAGAAAAATTAAAGGAAAAGGCATCAATCAAAAAATCTGAGATATCTTTTATTGACAAGAAGGTTGTTTCTAAACTTGGATCCTGCCAAATAAAATCATTAGTTAAGAACTCCTTGATGTTCTGACATATGCAGAAGGCAAAAGTTCTAAATGGAATTTCAACAGAACGAAACGATGACACTTCTTGCATAAGTACTAATGTATTTTCTTTCAAACAATTTAAAATCATCGATTTTCCTCCTTCACACATTATAATGTTATAAGTTACATTTATAAGTCCAGTTACACACTTCAATAGCCGCAGAGTTATATTCTCGAACTTCTTGGACAAACCAGCATCGTCTAGAACTTCAAGCGGAATGCATCGATCATCTAAATTATTCAAGTCTAGAACTGAATCTTCGTATTTCATTTCCCAGATATGTTTACATATCAATGATAATATCGTTAAAGAAAACCCTAAACACTGATTACTATTGTTACTTCCATTAGTCACTTCAAGCTGCATTAATTCTATCTTGGATGTAATATTTTTGAGTATTGGATCAATAATGCTCTCTGTTTCTTCTTCACAATCAATCTGACAGCACAGATGTAAAATTATTCCAATGCAACATAGAAGTAAGCGTCCATCGTTATCAGCAGGTTGTTCATTACTGTATTCAATACTCAGTTGAACAATGTCATGTGCGACGTTGAGCGGAAGAGAAGCTATACACTGCAAATAGAGATAAATTTAAACATTTTACATCATAAATTAGGGTAAATTTTATAACCATTGTTTATGCACATACCTCCACGTGAAATTCCTCCCATTGGAAAGCCTTTACGAGTTCAAAATAGAGATTCCAATGGAAATCGGGAAAGACATTGGTAAGAGATTCGAAGTAGTCATTCTGCCCTTTCAATTTATCTTTCCTAAATTAATAAAAATGTATCTAATTTTTTGGTTCTCTAATAGTGACATTTTTATAAAGTTAAATCTCCAGTATGCAATGTCCAATTTATCAGGTTTATTTGGCATATATTGAATGAAAGCACAGCATGATTTGCATCAGAACAGATTACTTGAATTGAAGCATTTCACGTAATGCATACAAACAAAACATGATGCACTCGCTTTGGCATTATTGAAAAACATAATTTAAAAATATATCAGTAAATTTTTTTGTCATATCAATAAGTAAAACTACAGGTCAAAATAAGAAGGAAGGGTTTCAAAAAGCGCATCATTTCAAATGATGGGGAGGAAGAGGTTGAGTCATTATGTGTACAATTTTACTGGTATTTGTGGCATATGAATTTGTTTTTACTAGTCATGCTAATAAACAATCAGTTTAAAAATATTTGCAGAAATAATAACTTAATACATACTTTACACCAAAATTATGTAATTCAAACACTTTTTTATCAATGCTTACTTCCAGAATCTGAATTTTCTTCTCAAAGAAACATTTTTTATAGTTTTTATAAACTAAACTTACAACTGATTGAAATGCTTAGAAATTCAGAGTTAACCTCAATGACTGTGCAATGCTAGCAGATAAAGAATATTACAAATCATGCAGTGTTGAATTATATTGTATATGAGAAAAGTCGGTTTTTTTAAGTTTAGAAAGCTTCAATAAAGAAAAAAATATCAAATATAAACTCATCAATTAAGGGAACGTTCACAAATCATTTAACCTAATATTTTGAAAATTTTCACCCCTCCAACTTTTCAGTGATTCTTTATGGCCAAACAAGTGACCCTCTATCTCTAAGACTACAAAGTCTAATGAAGTCAAACCATCAAGTAGGCCTACTTTTATTTATTTTATCTTTAAATTTAGATACCAGGTGGGAGAATAATGATGGCTTTGTTGCAATCCTCTCCGAAGAAACATAAAAACAAACAATAAAATGAAGATCAATTAAAAATAAAATTATTGAATATAACAAATTTACAACGCTTGCAATTAGAAAATTTTGGAACTATTCCCCTGATAAGCACATTGAAGGAAGGTCTCTTATACAACTACATAGACTCAAGCCACAGTCATCTTATCAGTTGTAAATTGGTATTTATATAAGCATCTCAAAGCCCAATGTTTAATAATAAGCCAAACAATTACCGTATTAAGTCAGATACTTTACCACTACTATTAATAATTAAATTTTGAGTAATTTGGTACTAGAGGTTGCTGTCAGGAACCATCTATGGTGTTATTAAATTTAATAATTATACTAATGGCTGTTTATTCAATTTCTACATATAGCATCCTTTTAATCCAAAAAATTTTTCTTGGTAGACAAAACACTAGCGTAGCGAGGGGGGAGCAAGGGGGTCTATCATGCCCTGGGTGCCCCTCTGCGAGTGGTGCCAAATGGTCTCCAAGACAAACAAGATTTCTTTTGGGAGGGGGAGGAGGTGCCAATAAAGTGTTGTGTGCTGGGTGCCAGTTTCGTTCACTATGCCACTGAGACAGAAATTGAATTCAATTTTTGAAATAAAACTGTAATTTACTGACCAGAAAGCTGCGAGATCGTCTACCAAGAAAAATTTTTTGGATTAAAAGGACACTATATATAGAAATTAGTAATTATAATTAAATTAATATTTATTAACTAATTCAGAATATTCTGAAAGAATTTAATTATTAATAGTAGCGGTAAAGTAATCCAGTTCACTATGGCAATTGTATGGCTCAATTGGTATTGTTGATTTATTGTCCCTTCTGATCAACATTGCTTTTAACTGTTTCCCTAATTCTGTGATTCTCCCTGCACGTGATATCATGTCTAAAGCACACTTTCAACAGATAATATGCTATATTGAACTATAACAATTGTTTTATTTTTAAAAAAAGGCTAGAATGTGACCCAGATTTTCCTCCATTGTAGTCTACAGTAGCCATTGGCTTACTGCTTTGGTCAGGTTATATAGTTTGCAAATGTTCCCCAGATCATTTTAAAAAGTGATTTAAGATACAACCATACTTCATTACTGTGTATAGAATGGCAGCATGCATTCTTCTCTTGCAGTTTTCCTCCTCCAAATTAAGAGTTTGGCTCTTTAATTCATCGATTAACTCCAGACAGGAATTAAAAACAGCACCAGCAACTTGTATGCATTCGTCCTTGTTTAAAGGGACACTCTCTTCTTTCACCTCATCATCTGCTTCCTGAAAGTAGGCATTTTAAACTGATAATAGCACAAATTATGCAAAAAGTAAATATTAAGTACCTGTTGTGAGTTCACATTACGTAAGGACGAGATAAGAGCACCCTGTAATAACGCAATATCTACGCCAAACTCGAACATTTCTCGCTTAAAAATAAATTTAAGACTGTAAAAGATATTTAAAACAATTCAAAATCATAAGGACTATGCTAATTACAGACGAAATTTACCTTAACAATTGTTCCACGTGACATTCCACCACAATAACAAAAAACACGTGTTTCAGAACGTTTACTCAAATCGCCGCCAGAGGCACTTCATGAAGTTTAGTTTCTTTTTTTAATATAATTTTTTTTCAGTAGTTAAAACTCTCACTAATAGAGGTGCCCTACACACTGTTATTTTCAATTATTATTATTATTATTATTATTGATTTAAAACGAATTAAATTTTTGCTGCCAGATTTTTTCTTTTGGATTTATCAAATAATTCAATATTATAACAAAATTTCGTTACTCCTCTTTACACTTTGCAGGTACTAAGAGGATTTTTAAAAATTTCATATGCGGTTTAACAAGCCGCTAATGGCAACAGTCGGATAGCCGAGCAGTTCAGGTGGTAGCTTATCGTTCTGAGGACCCGGAATCTGAATCCGGACGGGTCGTAAAATTGCAGGAATTTTTTGTGAAGGTGGTCTGTTCGGATATGTCGGTTCCCGTCCGTTATTACTCGGCTGCTCTACCGTATTGTTGGCCTGACCGAAATCATAATGGACTTACTAAAGAAACAATCGCGCCCATAGGACGGAAGAAGATTTAAAAAAAATTACAAAACGAAACGGCCAAATGGTGAAAGATTGCATCTGTGACGTTTCGCATTAACAAAACAAATTAAGAAATTATTTACAGTCGACCCCCTATAACACGGTAGATACGTTCCGTTCTTTATGAATCCACTTTGTACGAGTCCTTGCCAATCACAGCCCGACAAGTGTGAAGTTTACGGATTACGGCTGTTTGAAAGGTTTTTTTCTATAAAATTAATCGATTCCTAGACTAATTCGACTCAGCATTTCCAAAATACGTATATTTTGGGGGAATAATCCGTATAAACAATGCTATAAACAAAAAATTGTAGGATTACTTACCGAGTGTGCACCGTTCGACGTCGCCATTGCTTAAGCTTGTTTTCGTCGCGGAGCGGCGCACCAAACGGCGGCCGCGATTTCTGATAAGTTATTTTTCTGCGAAAACTTCGTTGAACTTTGGAGACATCATTAATATAAATAATTTTTATGGCCATTGAATAAGAAATGTTTCTTTCACAAGAAATGTATAAAATTAGTGCTGAATTAGACTTACGGTACCTAATTTACATACTGTACAGA